GCCTGCCGCCCCAAGTGCCCTCACCCATCTTCTGGAAGTAGTTCCGTTTCTGCTGGAAGCTCTTGGGCCGACAGGGCCTGTCTTCAGCCTCCTCGGAGGTCTCCTGGCAGGAGCAGAAGTGAGTGGCAGCTCAGCCAGCCTGGATGCCACACTCGCCACACCCCTCGGGTCCCCAGTCCTGGGCCAGCAGCCTCTTCCCCGCACTTGCCTACTCACCCTGCCCATGTCCCCTGCCCCTGCAGCCCCCACCCCACACCCCTTCCTGAGGACACGGTCACCTCCTCACCCTCAGGCAGCCACCCTCTGATTCCAGGTCATGCTGTGGCTTCTCCAGGGGTGTGGGGGGCTTCCTGGGCTTGGAGGTGATGGCTGAGGGTGAGGCCTGGGACGCCGCCTCGGAGGCCCGAGCCTGCCGCTGCCGCTGCTGCTGCTGCGTCTGCTGCTCCAGGGACAGGGTCATGGCCTGAGCTGTCATCTGCTGGGCCTGAAGCAGGAGGAGCAGCCGGTTCAGACCCTCATCCCCGAGCCATAGACCTCCTTCCACCAGGTAGCCCCAGGGCCCTGCCAGCACTCACCAGGATCAGTGCCTGCTGGTTGATGAAGTTCTGCTGCTGGATGGCCAGCTGCCCTGCGTCCAGGCTGGGAAGCGGCGGCTGCGGCGGCACCACCATGGCTGTGAGGGCGGCAGGGGGCCAGAGCGGTGGGCACCATGGCCAAAAGCTCTCCGCCCACTGTGCACTCGGGACTCCTAGCAGGACCCTCCCTCCTCCAGTCCCAGAGCTGGTGACTGCTCTCCTGAGAAGGGACTCTGGTGCCCCCAGCCCAGCCTTACCTGGCATGGCAGGGACTGTGCCCATTGCTGGCATCATGGGCATGGGTGCAGGGACCATGCCTGGCTGGTATCCAGGCATCTGAATCATTCCTGGGTACACTGAGGGAACACGCCCACCCCGTCAGTCCCTGCCTGGACCCACATGCCACCTCCCTCCAGCCCCAGGCACAGAGAAGAGCATCAGGCACCAGGGAGCTGGCCAGGGCACCGATCGCCATTGCCAGAGAGGTCCCAGGCCATGCCTGCCATGCTGCCGGGCCCGGAGGCCCTGGGTGAGGAATCAGCCCTCACTCACCCATGGGGTACCCCTGCTGCGTGGGCCCAACGGCGCCCCCTCCCTTCATGCGGCTGCTCAGAGCCCAGCTTTGTTCCAGATCCTGAAGGGACAATGGTCACAGGTCAGAGTGAGAGCCCTGAGAAAAGTGGAAGGGGCCGCAGAGACCCTGGGGGGTTGGGGCAGGGGTATGCAGGGGCTGTGCTGGACTCACACTGAGGCCGGAGGACATCACTGGCTGGAAGATCTGGTCCAGGAAGCCGTCCAGGCTCCCTGATCTCTGGACCTCCCCTGTGGGGCAGGGAGAGGGTTGGTGCCACAGCCCGGGGCATGGGGCTTCCCATGCTCTGCCAACCTCCATGTGCCCACTCCAGCCTTACCTGTGTGGTCCCTGCTGGGCAGCGTTGGGGCTGGACCTGGAGGGGGTCCTGGGGGCAGTGAGGGGGCCTGGATGCCAGGGGCAAGGGGAATGGCCTCGGTTCTGCAGGAAACAGGATCTAGTTAAGGGGGTGGCCAAAGCTGAGGATCACCCAGGCTGGGGCAAGAGGTAGGAGCTGCTGTGGGGGTCGCCCCATGGTTGGGAGGAGGCTGGGTGGGAGGGCTGGGCCTGTGGCAGCTCCTATAAACCCCTGGGTGTGGCAGGGTGGCTGTGGGGTTCCCCAGCAGGAGCAGGCCAGGGAGAGGGGTGCTGGGTGGCACTTACGAGCCAAGAGGAGTGATGGGGTAGCTGTGGGGAGCAGCTGGGTCCCCCAGGTCCTCAGTCTGGCTGATTAGGTCCAGCACAAAGTCGCAGCCAGCCAAGTCCTGCCATGTGTCCCTGGAATGCAGTGACACGGACCAGCCCCGGGGAGGCACCTCCAGGCCTCTGGGTGGGAGGGGAGCAGTCAGTGAGGCAGG